TTTCCACTTCCTGTAGGTGAAAACACAGTCCTCTTTTTATATCTAAATTCCATTATAACAGTGAGCCATTACATTCCTTGCTAGGTTTCATCCATATGTTTTAGTTAGCACAATCATTCAGCTTACTGCATCAACAGACGCCACGAGGGCCACCACTGGGATGACATCAGACACAAAGCCCTCTTATTCCCAATATCAACCATACAAGCATCTGTGTTTGACAGAGGGATTGTGTTGCATTGTGCTGGGCGTTTCACCCTCTATCAGCCAGCGATAACAAATGACACGCACAGTAAAAGTGGATACGGCACTTTGGTACTCATAATAAGGTTGCTCGTAGCTATGGTATGGTGAAGCGCTTGGGTGAGAGATGCTTGGTGGAGTGTAAGGGTGATATAAAGGCTCATGAATCAGATGGGTCACGCATCATGTGCCATCTCGTTGGCAGGGGCATCATGTCCGTCTTGTATGATGTGAACACTGTTGTTTACCTGCAGCCCATCAAACAGCTAGTGCGAGGAGAGAGGTAAATAACTGTGAAGTAATTGCACACAAGGGAATGTGTGTGTGTGTGTGTGTGTGTGTGTGCGCATTCTTTCCTGTTTATCTCGATGAGTGACGGTGTGTGATTGCGTGCACAGTTCTGTGCATTTTAGAACTCTTGGGAGGGCAAAGTTAGCACAGGTGTCAAGAAAGTCTTTAATTAGCAAACAAACAAACAAACAAAAACATAGAGCTCCTCTGGAAGCAGAAAACCGTTCTCAAGGAAGAATGAGTTTGAAAGGTGACTGTTTTAAACCAAACCAAGATGATTAAAGGAATAAAAAAGATAAGATGTCTGACTTAATGTGATGAGATGATGACTGCCATTTTCTATAAGGTAACCTCAAAGATAACAGTCAAATATGACAGCCACTTAAGTCTGTACAGCTTGTATAAGGTTTTTATTCAGCTGAAGACAGAATTTCTTCTACGTATGAAAAATAGAAAAGTGGTGTTTACACATTAGGGCTGAGAATCAGTACATACATTATGACTTGATTCTGATTTACAATCTCTCAATCTCTGGATTAAATTCCAATTTTATTTGGATATATTTTAGCTACAATGCAGTCTACTTACCAGACACCATTTAGTAAGCTTATAGCAATAAGAAATGTGTCTGTCCACACAGCTATGAGATGCAACAAAATCAATCAAATATCACAACCAATCAGAAGAGCGTGTGGGCAGGCACAGCACTTGCAACAAAATACAGGCGCATCTCAATAAATTAGAATGTCAGGGAAAAGTTCATTTATTTCAGTAATTCAACTCAAATTGTGAAACTTGTGTATTAAATAAATTCAATGCACACAAACTGAAGTAGTTTAAGTCTTTGGTTCCTTTAATTGTGATGATTTTGGCTCACATTTAACAAAAACCCACCAATTCTCAACAAATTAGAATACTTCATACAGGTGTTTTGAGTTGATTAGCTGATTGGCATGTCACCATATTCTAATTTGTTGAGATAGTGAATTGGTGGGTTTTTGTTAAATGTGAGCCAAAATCATCACAATTAAAAGAACCAACGACTTAAACTACTTCAGTCTGTGTGCATTGAATTTATTTAATACATGAGTTTCACAATTTGAGTTGAATTACTGAAATAAATGAACTTTCCCACGACATTCTAATTTATTGAGATGCACCTGTAGATTGGTGTATGCATGACTATTAAACCATTTAAAACATAAATTAGATACTTGTCACTGTCGTTGTCACTGAATATAGGCTACTTGTTTGTTCACATAATTTGAATATACTTGATTCCTTTAACTTATTTTCAAGATCTGAGGTAAATGATTAATGTCCCTTTAAGTATGGTTATAAAAGTCACGTAAAATGAAATTTACATTAAGCTTTCAACATTAAGTAAAGCACACAGATCAGTACCTGAGATTATCATTGCCATAGTTTGTATCCAGTCACAAAATCTCAGAAATAGAAAAGTATTTCTAAAATGAACACAGAGTAACCATGGTTTGGTTAAATTTTGTTGCCGATATCGAGTAATTTATTTTAATAGGAATTCTTGTAATTTTGAGTTTTGCGTGACAGGGAAACAGTTTGCTAAACAGATTTCACTTTGGCTCAAGTCTGTCATGCAAATTCCTGACATTAACCAACAGAAAGTGCTGCATGCATTGCTAAACTATTGCCAATAGACAATTTTACCGAAATATTGCTAATGTGACCACACCTTAATACTTTAAAATACTAAGAGTAGCATTTGACTTTTGAACTATTCATCAAGAACTGATTTAAAGGGTCATTTGTTTCAGACAGATTCAAACTGGTAACTTGTTTTGAACAATTAAAAAAAAACTAATAAAAAAAACAGGTCTTTTGTTTCAGACTGATTGAAACTTGTTTTGAACTGTTCATTAAAAGACACACGGGGTGGGGGGTGGGGATCCAGTACACTGGTCTTTCTGGATGTTTTTTTTTATGTGCAGCCTGGGAAGACAATTCAATCGAATGACGTTTCTCTTTAAATAATCATTATCAGAATATTTCTAATGAAGATCATGTTGTAAATATGCAGCTGGAGATAAATGGCGTTGGCTAACTTTGGTCACTGTATTCATGAGCACTCCTTTAAAGTGTGAAACTGGCATTTTCATGAAATACCAAACGTACATGTTCTCTCATGTGCTTCATGACTATACAGTAAATATCAGAATGCAGGTTGACTGAGTCCAATGACACCTTGAATGTCTATTTACTACTCTACTGAGATTTCAAACTGATTACTAATCAAAGCCAGACACTGTAATGAGTCCACCTGAGAGTTAAAGCACCTGAGAGTTTAAGGGCTACATTGAATTATGGGCAATATCAGCTAGCCTGACTCAAGAATGCTGCTCAGTAGCTCAAATTACTACACTCATTTTCACCAAATTGTAATTCTGTGTGACTTGTGCGGTATTGACAGAATTCAACACAATTGGTTTTACAATGATTGCAATAGAAACATTTCATACATGTAGCGTCTGGACCAATCCAACACACTATATATTCTCTTTTTATATAACAAATACTCTGTAACCTCAGTTAACAAGCCATATGAGGACCCATGAACCCTTCCCCCCGGAATGCGTAACACCCCAGGAAGTCGAACAGGCCTCTTTGTTGCATGGCAACCAACGCTGATATCACTGGGTTTATTGGCCAAAAGTATGTAAAGCAGGGAAAATCCCTGCATGTCCCAAGGAAAAGCAGAGTAGAAATGGACTGTGTTCTAGTTAATTCATAGAAAAACCGTTATTTGAATGAACACACATATTTCTTCAGGCCATTGAGTATATTATTGTCATTGTGTATTTTGTCTTTGATATTCTTAGACTATTTTAGTATGCTTGTGAGGGAACCCATTCCTGATCATCCCTTTTCACTATATGTAATCTTACCTTGTTTAGTATCTATGAATTTGCCTTCGTATGATCGAAACAAGCGTGTATATTATATGGTGGTACATAGGCAATATATATTAGCACCCTGAGAATCGTTAATAGTTTCGATTTAAGTCCATTTGCAAATTACCATGCTTAGAGAACAAAGGGGTCGTAAACCCTCCAGCAATTGCCACCTCCCGCTCGGAAATTCCATTTTGCGCATTGGACAAGCCCATCTTGAAAGGCGGAGATCTTCTCCGACCTTAAAGGCCCGGCTCCAGGGACCCGCCCCAGTCGGTGATTCAGTCAGAAGCAAAGATGATGTGAGAAAAACGCTTCAGGATACAAAGCATCTGTGCCAGGCCTTTCTTCGGCCTAGTCCTTTCCATTCATCAAGTAACACTGACTCAAACTGGTTCTTCTCATCGACCCGAATTCAGCAAAGATCTACGGGAAGCTTTAAGATTTGCATCAGGAATCTCTTTCAGACCGCCGAGACTCGCTAAGTATCAAACTTAGTCTTATTAATTGATACATTAAGTATCAGTTACACCTTTTTACAAGGTGTGTTTGAACTAAGAATCTGACGTATCCCTGAAGGCTTTGATCTGTTGAATATACATGCAAAGTGTTCCATAAAATCCATTCTTTATGCCTCTTTCTATGCTGAGTTAAACTTTAACCCTTTCCTATACCAACTGTATGTGTGTGTGTGTGTATGTGTATGTTAGACCGGCTTAATGTGTTTATGTAGTATGTTAGACTAGTTTAAGTGTTTATGTAGTTAATAAAACCTTACTTGTATCACACTTGACGTGTTCATTGTTTACTCATAACCGGAGTCAATAATCATGCAGATTTACGTTACAAACTTATAGAATTGTACAGTAAGAAAGTTATTTCCCTTAACCAGGAAATTAACGTTCTTAGAATTGACAAGACAGTTGACCCTGAGTGGTCAGCTAAATATCTACAGTGGATCTAAAATATGAATAGTTAATTATAACTAGTTATGGTTAATTATTCATATTTCCCCATGAGCTAAATTCGCTACACAGGCTAAATAATTTCAGTATACTCACTTTTGTGTCAGGATCAGTCGGAACTCCATTCTGTGTGCCAAATCCAGCTGGTCCAAGATGGTCTTGCTGGTGGAAATGTAACTTGTTTTACAACCAGCTGAACTGCACCAGAGAGTCTCCGTGATCATAAGGTAGTACCTATCCACATCCAAAATTTGGCGGGCTCTCTTGTGGGCTCCATAACCTGTGAGCTGTTTTCCACAAACAGGACAGGACAGCCTGACCCTTCATAGGTGGTATGGCATCCACAAGAGAAGTTGTGGGAAAAAACGCTCTGGAGCGGGGGCCTGATGATAAATGAAAGCTGGCTCCGGTGGATCATATCACAGCTTCAGGTCAGTGCGCAGCCGCTTGTTCTTCCACAGAGCAGATTAAATCCACTTCTGATTCTGAGGTGGTATGGTCCCCATCAGCTTTGCAGGCAGCCAGCCAGGCTCTGAACCAGGAGCAGTCTCCATGTCAGCAGTAGGGTGAGCTGAGAAACCAACCACAGATGGAGCAGCAGAGTTGACAAAAAAAGAGGTGGCAGTGGCAGATGCAGAGGTCACAGGGGCAAGAGGAGCAGAGGAGGTACCAGACGAGGAGGCGGGAGATGACACTTCCTTTATAAATAAAAAAAGGCAAATATATATATATATACATGACTGCAAGTCACTCATAAAGGATGCTTATTTGAAGTTAAGTATCATTGTGAAGAAAACCATTTAATTTAAGAGTTTCTCACAGCTCTAGCAGCTACCAATGGTATCGAGGAGGTGGTTGTGGACACAGGAGAGGGAGGAAGAGACAGAGTCGAGACAGTCTGAATGTACAATCTGGGACTGCGGGCAGGCGATGGTGTCCTCCTTGTCATGGCACTTGTGACAGTGCTGGACATCGCAGAAGAATCAGAAGTGCAACTGATGGGCTGAGAGAATATGACCACAGTTTACAACATTATATATAATATTAATCTGTCCTTATTAGGAATTACAGTAATGACAACATAATTTAAACATATCTTTATGGAATGAAAATAACAGTAGCCTAACAAGACTACCCAGGCATAACAAGAATAAGAGTGCATAATATACGATTGTATTATACGATTGATTATATGATTATAAAATCAAATTCAAACTGTCATTCTCTTTACATTACCTTGGTTGCATGCTTCCTGCCCAAATTTAAATTTGGCTTTAAAGCGGCACCCTGAGACCCACCAAACCGCGGCTTCATAAACTGAAAAAAAAAGTAATCTTAAGAGGAGCCTTGTAAATTAAAATGCATATATTTGAATATGCTAGAATTTAAATATCAGTATCAGTAAATCCTCATTACTTACTGATGCCATAGTCAAAGTTGGCTTGTGGGGTGTGAGTCGTCCAGATGTTGCTGTCTGCCCCGGTGTTGCAGCCAATGATGCAACAAGTGATGCAGATGAGGGAACTGGTGTCATTGAAGAGGACACTGAACTGGAAGGCTACAGGTTAAGAGAAAAGAAAATGAAATTTAATAATAGAGACTACAACACCAACACTTCATAATTTTAGGAAAATATTAGGGATGCACCGATATGAAAATTTTGGCCGATACCGATAACTGATTACTCTTTATTTTTGAAAGTCGATAACTGATATGTTGGCCGATAAATCTATATCCAAATTGTTATATACTTTTTGAGCCTGATTACAAAAAAGGTCTCATCATTAAAAGCCACATCCCAAACACTTCAACATAAGCAGCCTAGTTTGAACGGTGTACGTTTTAAAAATATTTTTACTCTCCCATTACCAAATTTAGTCATAAAAAAGTCTTACAAATAAATAAAATAATGCATAAATAATGCAAACAAGTCACTGGACATCATTACACGTGTAAAGAATCAAAATGAATGCGCCATAGATCAATAAAACGGAATAGCCTCTGCACGGACAATAATTAAATGATTTTAATTACTAAACCATACTGTTGATGAAAATAATAAGAGAACAATACAAGTGGTTGTTGTTATTAATAATATATCAATGATTTTGAAAAAGTAACAAATTAATACCACTGTTTTAAATAGCAGCCGTTGAGCTGCACGTGCTGAAGCTGAAGAGCTGAATGAACACGGTAAACTGAAGCGTTTTGCTGGCAGCTTATTTAACTCAAGGAAATGCATCCTGAGATTAATATTAATACAACATAAACATAATATTACAACTTATATATGTACAAAATGACGCAGTTATTGCATGCTATAGTCAGAATGTGATCCTGTTGTGGATAAATCAGATATACATCAAATAAACACAATATTACAA